CGATACGATATTTACGATATTAGTCAAAATATTTAAAAAAAAAAATACAAAAAAAATGAAATATTCACAATTTCAAGGCTGAAAAACGGATTTCAAAATAACCCTTCAAATTCACAACCCTAATCCACCTGTCTCACTTCAATTTCTTCAAAAAATTATCACAATATGGCAACCCGCCTAACTCAATTTCTATAGATTCTTGTTATTTTTTGCGAGTCAAGTGCGAATTTATGAGTGACAGATTAGTCTTTTAGAAATTATGAGTGATAGATTAGTCTTTTAGAAATTATGGATTCGAATTTGAACTTTGCTGATGTATTTTAAGAGCAACTATGATTTTTTTCCTATTTTATAATGCAATTTTGAAATTTGAAACTTGATTTGACTTTAAAATATTAAATTTTACATGTCTATAGTATTTCTATTATGTAAATATATATATTTTATTATTTTAAATAGTTGGTTAAATATCATACGATACGATATGATACGATACACGGCGGAAAACGATATGCCGATATTTTCCGATTCGATAACCATGATATATATAATGTTAAAGCAAGAAAAGCACATGTGTTTTATTCTCAATTAATACGTTTTCTGTTAATTAATTATGTTATTCAATTATTAAATAAAAAATACTCAAATGATATAAAATCAATAAAAAAAAAATTAAAAGTAAATAAATAAACACAAATACAAATAAATGAATTTGTTGTACGGATATTTATCGGCCCACTGTATTAGTGGACGGTCCATATCCAGCCCAACTAAACTAGTTTAGAGCACGTAGAATTATTACTTGGCCCACTTCTTCTTCCTTTTTTTTTTCTTCTTTTCTTTCTAAATAGCTTTTCTAAGAAATTATTTAGTCTTTCTAAAATAATTAAAAGAAAAAAAATTATATATTCTCATCAATTCGATTTTATTTTATAGGAACCAATAAGACAGAAGCTTGAAAGGGATGAACGCGCTCCTAGCGGAAAATACCGGCCGCGAAAACATATGGGACGAGTATGCCGTATGGGGACTAACGAAACCGAATAAGTACCAGGAATGAATTTTGCTATATCTGTCCCGTATCCCCGTCCCGCAGCCCTGGCCCGTCATTGTATTTTAATATGTACATATATTTAGTTGGAGCATTATTTTAAATTAATTTTTCATTTAATCTTATTTCCATAATTTTAGCTCCTTTCCATGAAACTTAATTTTTTTTTTATTTTTTTTAGCTCGTTTTCACATAAATAATTTGAAAAACATATATATGTACATTTAATTTTCATGGATTTGTCGGGGTGGATACCCGTATATTGTTTAATGGGTCGAGAATGGGAATATTCGACGTAGAATTTTTAAGAGAACATAAATAGAGACTTTGAGAGTAGACGAGGATGGAGATTGCAAAACCGGCCGCATAGCAGTGCCACTATCATCATGGATTCTTGATCATGTATTGTCATCAATTGAATAGTCAACTACTGTGCAATCAAAATAATCAAAAAAATCATGCTCTCCATTTTGACCACACCTTCATTACTCGCACATTAAATAAATTAAATAAAAAAATATCCATAATTTCGAATAATTAAATTAAGATATCACCTTGAAAGAAGAGAAACACTACTAAAAACTCTTTAGAGTCAAAAATCTTTCATGTAGTAATATTTACTGCACAATAATCATTTATTTGTCTTCTCAAACAATCAAACCCCGAGGGCCAATTCCGTCATTATTCCTTCGTCCAACTCCGCGATCTAGATGCTGCAGCACTCCCCCAGCTTCTCGCTTCTCTAGATCCACCACTCCGCCACCGTACCGGAAACTCCATATCCAAATCTCCATACTCCGGGAATGGCTTCTTCCGAAGCCGATTCCCGCTTAATCCGAGTCCTCACCCCCGCCTTCGACAAGATCGTCAAAAATGCGACGTGGCGCAAGCACTCCAAACTCGCCGCCGAGTGCAAATCCGTTATCGAACACCTCACCTCACCCAACCAAAACCCTACCCCCGTATCCTCACCCCCTGCGTCCCCCTCCGGCCAATCCGATTCCGACACGTCGTCACACCCCGGCGTTCTCCTGGATCTCTCACTGGCAGACTCCGAAATCGTTCTCAGCCCCCTAATCAATGCGCTCTACTCTAACTACGCTAAAGTTACCGAACCTGCTCTTGATGCAGTGCAGAAGCTGATTGCCCATGGATATTTGCACGGCGAAGCGGACCCGAGCGGAGGCCCGGACGGCAAATTGCTCTCCAAATTGATCGATTCCGCGTGCAAGTGCCACGATTTGGGGGATGAGAATGTGGAATTGTTGGTGATCAAGGCGATTCTGTCTGCTGTTACTTCGGTCTCTCTTCGGATACACGGCGATTGCTTGTTGCAGGTGGTGAGGACTTGTTACGATATTTACCTCAGTAGTAAGAACGTGGTGAATCAGACCACTGCCAAGGCGTCATTGGTTCAGATGCTAGTTATTGTGTTCCGTAGAATGGAGGCTGATTCGTCGACTGTGCCGTTGCAGCCTATTGTAGTGGCGGAGCTGATGGAGCCGGTGGAGAAGGCGGATGCGGATGGTTCGATGACAATGTTTGTTCAGGGTTTTATAACTAAGGTAATTCAGGATATTGATGGAGTTTTTAGCCCTAGTACTCCAAGAGGTGGTGTTGGATCAGGGGTTCGAGCGCACGATGGGGCGTTTGAGACTAAGACCTCAACAGTGGAGGGCACAAATCCAGCAGATTTGTTGGATTCAACCGATAAAGATATGTTGGATGCTAAGTATTGGGAGATTAGTATGTATAAAACAGCATTAGAGGGAAGGAAAGGAGAGTTGGCAGAGGGTGAGGGGGAAAGGGATGATGATTTGGATGTGCAGATCGGGAATAAGTTGAGACGAGATGCTTTTTTAGTTTTTCGGGCTTTGTGTAAGCTCTCAATGAAGACTCCGCCTAAGGATGCTGCGTCAGATCCTCAGGCGATGAAGGGGAAGATTGTGGCTTTGGAGTTGCTCAAGATTTTGTTGGAGAATGCCGGGGCAGTATTTAGGACTAGTGAAAGGTATTGTGCGCTACACATTACTTTTCTTCTGTATGATTCAACTGAAGTTTAACGGCAACTTGACTAATTTTTGCTTCCAAAAAACAATTATTAATATAGTCAACATAAGAGCAGTCTGAAGCTGATGATTGTGTTATTCCAATACTAAACAGTAAACTCAATTGCGTTGATTGTGTTCTTACGAAATGCATCTGCCTCGTGATCTCTTCGTAATTATTGCCACATCTGATTTTAGTTCCTTTTATAGTCCCCTTGGCTTGAATTCCTAAGATGTTCTCTAATGCTTGATTTTTCTTATTATCATCTACACCACTCATCTTCTCGAACTAGAAGTAGTATTATCAGATAATATTGTTTATTCTTCACAATTGAGGATTGAGCTCGACTGATTTCATGTTTGAAAAGAGCTTTCTCTTGCTCGTCGGAGATGGATTTTTGCCTGTAAATTTAGTTTGTGATGATAATGCTCTTATAGTTGCTGCACTAGTTTGAATTGGTTCACTTCTGGTCTTCCATCAAGCTGGCCATTTACTGTCTTTTTTTGTTTATTTTTGTCTTTAATATATTTTTCCATTCTATTGGTCCACTGTTTCGTTGATTGTGCTAGGTTCGTTTTCCCTACTTTAGATTATTTGTTCCCTCTCTGGCTGGTTACAATTGATAATTTCTCATCAATGTGTTGAGATACTGTCTTTGATATTTAAGCATTTTCTACTCCAGAAATGACTGTATGTCTGGTTATCATTAACCACTGTCACTCTGATTTTCTTCTTGAACAGATTTTTGGATGCTATAAAGCAGTACTTGTGTCTGTCGCTGTTGAAGAACAGCGCTTCAACCCTTATGATTGTTTTTCAGCTCTCTTGCTCAATATTTATTAGTCTGGTATCACGATTTAGAGCTGGACTAAAAGCAGAAATCGGGGTATTTTTCCCTATGATAGTCCTCCGAGTATTAGAAAATGTAGCACAACCAAATTTTCAGCAAAAGATGGCAGTGCTTCGGTTTCTGGAGAAGCTGTGCAGTGATTCGCAGATCTTGATAGACATCTTCCTTAACTACGATTGTGATGTTAATGCGTCCAACATATTTGAGCGGTATGGTTTATTTATCACTTTATTATCTTTTTCTATTAGTTCAATGATGCCTTTTTTTTTTTGAGTTTGTTATCTTTCTTATTTGAAGTAAGGGTTTAGCATCTCTACTTAATTGTTCAGCATTTATGGTAGTGCATATGTATATAACAAACTAAAATCTCTTTTTTTTTTCTCTTCACTTTATTTTGATCTTCCAGGATGGTCAATGGACTACTTAAAACTGCTCAGGGGGTTCCTCCTGGTGTTGCAAGTACACTTCAGCCTCCTCAAGATGTTACCATGAAGCTAGAAGCTATGAAATGCTTGGTTGCTATTTTGAAGTGCATGGGGGACTGGATGAACAAACAATTGCGGCTTCCAGATTCTCATCCTTCAAAGAGATTAGAAGCTGCTGAAAACAGTTCTGAAACTGGAAGTCCCCCTTCCATAAATGGCAATGCTGATGAGGCCCCTGAAGGATCAGATACTCATTCTGAAGCCTCGAGTGAAGTTTCTGAGGTTTCAACGCTTGAGCAACGTCGTGCCTATAAACTTGAACTTCAGGTGCAATTTAGGTTAAATTTGTTCAATTTATGTACTCAAGAGTTCTTCAATCTTCTGAGCACTACATTGGATCCATCATTGAAACTTATATAATACATTTGGCAGGAAGGTATCTCTCTTTTTAATCGAAAACCCAAGAAAGGTATTGAGTTCCTGATAAATGCAAATAAGGTGGGAAACTCAGCGGAAGAGATTGCAGCTTTCCTTAAAAATGCATCTGGTTTAAATAAATCTCTGATTGGTGACTATTTGGGTGAAAGGGAAGATTTGTCATTGAAAGTGATGCACGCCTATGTGGATTCCTTTGACTTCCAAGGGAAGGAGTTTGACGAGGCAATCAGGGTCTTCCTACAGGGTTTTAGACTGCCTGGTGAGGCTCAGAAGATAGATCGTATTATGGAGAAATTTGCAGAACGGTACTGCAAATGTAATCCAAAGGTCTTTACAAGTGCTGACACAGCTTATGTGCTTGCGTACTCTGTTATTTTGCTAAATACTGATGCTCATAACCCTATGGTCAAGAAAAAGGTATATTTCTAAACTTCAAATATAATCATGGTTGATGGGCTTTTTGTGGCAGAAAATCGAATTGTTCTTCCGTTTCTTACATTCTTCATTCATTATCTAGATGTCAGCTGACGATTTTATAAGGAACAACCGTGGAATTGATGACGGAAAAGATCTACCAGAGGAGTACTTGAGATCATTGTTTGAGCGAATATCAAGAAATGAGATTAAAATGAAAGAAGATAATTTGTCCATCCAGCAGAAGCAGTCCGTCAACTCAAACAGAGTATTAGGTTTAGATAATATACTAAACATTGTGGTCCGTAAGCGAGGAGAAGAAACTATGGAGAGTGGAGATGACCTCATTAGACACATGCAGGAACAATTCAAAGAAAAAGCTCGCAAGTCAGAGTAAGATTAATTATGAAATTTTCTGCATCATAGGCTAAGACTAGAACTTCTGCTGGTGATGAATATGTTTTATGCCTTATTTTTTAGTGTTTATGTTTTCGTCTGCCATGTTCTCCAATTATCTTCAGGAGGCTTGGCTTATATAAAATCTTTCACGTTGTGTCCATTGACAAATACAAACATACTTGAGAAAAATAGGAATGGATAGAATTGGAGGAATGCTGAAGTAATACATGTTTTATGGGGCAGAACAGCTGAACATTATAAAACATGTTCTCGTTATTTGGAAAAATGATAATTGTTAGCGTTCTAGAGTAACAACCTGGATTTCCTTTTGATTTTCAACTTGAATTGGCAATTTGTAGGTCAACTTATTATCCCGCGACAGATGTGGTGGTGCTCAGGTTCATGATTGAAGCATGTTGGGCTCCAATGCTGGCTGCATTCAGCGTTCCACTTGACCAAAGTGACGATGAAGAAGTAATAGCCTTCTGTTTGGAAGGCTTTCGTAGTGCAATCCATGTTACTGCAGCGATGTCCATGAAAACTCATAGAGATGCTTTTGTGACATCATTAGCAAAGTTTACTTCACTTCATTCACCTGCAGATATAAAAAAGAAAAATATTGATGCAATCAAGGTAGGTTTTCATTTCTTATGCTCTTATCATGCCTTGTATGTTTAAGCTATCAATGGTCTACATGAAAACTATCAGTTTTTATATTCTTTTCTGAAACCCTAAAGAAGATTTTGTGCTACTAAGGTGCACTGCATGCACCAAGAGAATGACTACTAACTTCTCTATGCCATTAACATGTAAATAGTCCCTTCTCCCTCCTAAGGTGCCCCATAAAATATTTATCTAATCAGCCCGAATCCCGGCTCTTCCCAGTATAACCCATTTATTTTTTCCAACCTCATTTTTCTTTGTTATTGGAATTTGGCAGTGCAGTTGTCAGCTTATTAATATTAGATTACATGCATAACGTTGGTATAGCGTATTCTTGCAAAAAGGTCTCAAATATTTTGATATGGATTAGCTGCATATTAGAATTATTTATGTAAGAAAAGGTGATAATCCTAGAAGTTGAGAAACAGGTGATTGCCCTACTTAATGTGAAATGATTGAAGTTATGGAGAAATTCATTACAGCTTTCATGAGAACACCTCAACAATTCTTACCTGTGTCAACAGGCTATAGTCATGATAGCAGATGAGGATGGGGACTACTTACAGGAAGGCTGGGAACATATTTTAACATGTGTCTCACGTTTTGAACATTTGCACCTCCTGGGTGAAGGTGCTCCACCAGATGCCACTTTCTTTGCGATTCCTCAGAACGAATCAGACAAATCTAATCAAGCCAGATCAAATATTCTGCCTGCCCTAAGAAAGAAGGGACCTGGTAAGATTCAGAATGCAGCTTCTGCCGTGAGAAGGGGTTCATATGACAGTGCTGGTATTGGTGGTAATGCAGCTGCTGGCATGACATCTGAACAGATGAAAAACTTGGTCTCTAACTTAAACATGTTGGAACAAGTTGGTGAAGTAAACCGCATATTTATACGAAGTCAAAAGCTAAATAGTGAGGCAATAGTTGATTTCGTGAAAGCTCTTTGCAAGGTATCTATGGATGAACTGCGATCTACATCTGACCCACGGGTTTTCAGCCTTACAAAGATAGTTGAAATTGCGTATGTTACTGTTACCACTTAGCCTTTAACTCTTCCCTCAAATATCTTGTTTTGTCGGAAAACAATATATTGCTTTTACCTTTTCTCGTTGTTGACAATATAGGTGACATTTAATTTGTTCCTTTTGAACAGGCATTACAACATGAACCGCATTAGGCTTGTCTGGTCAAAAATTTGGCAAGTACTTTCTGATTTCTTTGTGACAATTGGCTGTTCAGGGAACCTTTCTATTGCGATATTCGCAATGGACTCTCTCCGCCAATTATCAATGAAATTCCTGGAGAGGGAAGAATTGGCTAATTATAACTTTCAGAACGAGTTTATGAAGCCTTTCGTAATTGTTATGCGCAAGAGTAATGCTGTTGAAATTAGAGAATTGATTATCAGATGTGTTTCTCAGATGGTGTTATCTCGTGTGGATAATGTCAAGTCGGGGTGGAAGAGCATGTTCATGGTAATAAACTCTTGCCTGAATATTAGTGTTTGTTTCTTTATATCCATATTACTTAGTGCATTTTCTTTATTTCCAGTTTTATTTCACATTGTCTTCTGATGGGTTTCACATTTGTAGGTTTTCACGACAGCTGCTTATGACGACCACAAGAACATTGTCCTCCTGGCCTTTGAAATAACTGAGAAGATTGTGCGAGATTATTTTCCGTATATCACTGAAACCGAAACCACCACTTTCACCGATTGTGTAAATTGTCTGATTGCATTCACCAACACTAGATTCAACAGAGAAATTAGTCTTAACGCCATTGGTTTCCTACGTTTCTGTGCGGCAAAACTTGCTGAAGGAAATCTAGGCGAGGGAACTTCTGGAAGGATTTCTCAATCTTCTCCTCAAAAAGGGAAAGAAACTCAAGTTGACAATGGGGAACCCACTGAGAAGGTGGATCATCTCTATTTGTGGTTTCCTTTATTAGCAGGTAAAGGAATTTTTTTTCTCTTTTTGTTGGTTATCTAACCGATTAAGTTTCGTAGCTCGATTTATCCGATAGTTTCTCTTTCTTTACATACAAATTTATTCAAGTTAAACCAAGTGAGATGTGCTCTCTCTCTCTCTCCAGGTTTATCTGAACTGAGCTTTGATCCAAGGCCTGAAATCAGGAAGAGTGCCCTACAAGTACTTTTTGACACTTTACGCAACTATGGTCAACATTTTTCTCTAGCCTTGTGGGAAAAGGTTTTCGAATCCGTCCTGTTTAGAATCTTTGATGATGCTAGACATGCTATGGATCCATCCAGGGACAACTCCCCAGGTCACATAGCTAGTGACGACATGGAGGAACTCGATCAAGATGCATGGCTTTACGAGACATGCACTTTAGCCCTGCAACTGGTTGTAGATCTTTTTGTTAATTTCTACGACACAGTCAATCCCCTTCTGAAAAAAGTGCTGATGCTATTGGTTAGTTTTATCAAACGCCCTCACCAAAGCCTTGCTGGCATCGGTATTGCTGCTTTCGTTCGCTTGATGAGCAATGCTGGGGAGATGTTCTCTGAAGACAAGTGGTTTGAGGTGGTTTCGTCCCTCAAAGAAGTAGCGACTGAAACGCTTCCCAATTTCTCCTTTATGCTCGACGAAGATGGTAAAATCTGGACCCATGAAGATGAATCGAACGCAAACAACGCAAACAATCGTGATGAATCTAGCGAACCAATCACGTCAAATGAAGATTCGGACAGTAACTTGAGGAGACAGCGTCTGTACTCTGCTATATCGGATGTGAAATGCCGAGCTGCCATTCAGCTTTTACTAATACAGGTTAGTGACATATTTCTGAAGTTTTATCGTGAACCTTCGTGCTCTTGTTTTGTTTATTGCGGAGAACCTTATTGTACACAGATGATTTCTTTCTGCAATTTTTTGGATCAAGGAGTTATAATTTGCGATAACATTTTATAATTGTTCTTGCACGGGCTATTTTTGCAGGCTGTAATGGAAATCTACACCATGTACCGAGCTCAGCTATCCGTTCAAAACACCGTTATCCTCTTCGAAGCAGTCCATGCAGTGGCATTTCACGCCCACAAAACAAACAGTGACGCAGCACTACGCCCAAAGTTGCAAGAACTCGGCTCCATGACACAAATGCAGGACCCTCCTCTTCTTCGCCTGGAGAACGAATCTTACCAAATCTGCCTCACATTATTACAGAATCTCGTACTTGACAAGCCTCCCAATTACCAAGAATCGGAAGTCGAATCTTATTTAGTCAACCTTAGTCAAGAGGTGTTGCAGTTCTACATCGAAGTTGCATGCTCAGGTCAACAGCAACAACAACTGATGCCCGATTCTTCATCTCTCGATAGGCAGCCTCAGTGGACGATTCCGCTAGGTTCCGGAAGGAGGAGAGAATTGGCTGCACGAGGGCCTCTTATTGTTTCGACTCTCCAGGCTATAAGTAGCTTAGGCGATTCTTCGTTTGAGAAGAATTTGTCTTTATTCTTTCCTTTGCTTTCGAGCTTGATAAGCTGTGAGCATGGTTCAAATGAGGTTCAACTTGCGTTGAGTGATATGCTTAGCTCGTCAGTGGGTCCCGTTTTGCTGCGCTCATGTTGATGCTTTTTGACCTACGGCGTTTTTTCAGGCATGTGATATTCTTATTGACAATAATTGTTTTGATAGTCGGTGTTTTTCTTATTTAGAATGAGCAGTTGTTGGGAAGCTGCAGTGTTGTATCTTCTGAATATTCTTGTTTGATTTTAGAATAATAGTTTTGTACCAAAAAAAAAATTGATTTTATTTTTTACTTCCAGAAATATATACTCATGTGTTGCTAATAGTATTTTGTTAATTTAGTTTTCTTTTTTCTTGCTGGCTGTGTACCTCTCACACACACCAAACTATTTTCTAGCTTTGTATATTTTTCGTGTAAAGTGTTTATTCAAATACCGTAAATACAGTATAACATACGAAAACCGGACACACGTTTCAAATTTGTAGACGAAAAACGAGGACTGCCGTCTTAAATCGTTTAAAATAGAGATGACTAATATGTTGCTGAATTTATAAATAATTTTGGCAATCCATGTTTTGCTCCTTAACTTGCGGAAAGTCCAACACTGTAAAACTCAAAAAACAACAGAAAGCTAAATGACAATATATTGCCTGCAATGCAATTTCCGCTGACCGAGTTTCCACCACATTTTCGCATTTAATTTACAAGCACACGTATATACATGTATAAGTGAGTTGAAATATATACGGATCTAAACACACGTATGTATATAACTCGATGAAATTCACTCGATGCAACATAGAATAAAAACCCAATTTCGAAAGGGAAGCTTCTTTTATTTCTTTTTCCCCTTCCAATTTTGCCCTTTATATATAACCTAATCTATATTTCTTAAAAGTGCAAGCCACATGCAAAAGACAATCAATTTTTTCTAATCATTTGTATCTATTCTTCTCTTATAAATATATGTATCCTTAAATAATAATAATAATTAAACCCACTCCAACTTCTTGACTATATCAACCATTTGAACTATACTACTCTCCAAACACCAATTCAAAATCATGTTAGATTCCACAAAACTATGCTTGAGTTCACAATTCCGGCGTGCAAAAAAGCTTCTCGTAAAAAAGCTGATCAACTTCTCAAAAAAGTTCATAAGCAGCCAGCTGCTGCAATAATAATAATAACAATAAGCACGCTTCTGATTTAAGTTGGCTGACGTCATCTTTTCCATCCATGGAAATCTCTACCCAACTGAAGCAAGTATTCAAGATCATCGACGCAAACGGCGACGGAAAGTTATCGCCGTTCGAGCTCAAAAAAGTTCTTCTGATAAGCACGGGCCACGAAAAAGCAGAAGCTGCAAAGCTAGAAGCAGAAGCTGAAGGAATAGTGAGGGAAATGGATTTCAACGGGGATGGTTATGTTGACGTGGATGAGTTTGTGATTACGGTTATGGGAATGAACGGTGAGGATTTAATGGGGAGTGAGATTATTATGAGATCAGCTTTTCGAGTGTTCGATGCCGATAACAATGGATTGATTTCTGCGGAGGAGTTGCGGAGTGTTATTCGAAGAGTTGGTTTTGGGAATAGCAGTCTTCGGGAGTGTCGGAAAATGATCGAAGGAGTCGATATAGACGGTGATGGATTCGTGAGTTTTGATGAGTTTAAGTTTATGTTGTGTGGTGGTGGATTGTCTTAGAATTTGTTTGTTTGAGCTTTGTTTGAATTGTGTAAGAATTCTTTCTTTCTTTTTTTTTTTTTTTTTTTTGAGTTCTTGAATTAGGTGATTAGGTAACTATGTTTATGCAAGAATTGCTAAACGTGGTCATGATTTAATTATTATTTTTGTTTGTTTTGTTTTCTGAATTTTTAATGGGCTTGTAATTAAATTATTGTGTTCTACTATTGGTTTTATTGTGTTTATTGAATCTTATTTATTCAATTTCAAATTATACTAGCGCTGCACCAGTGCGATGCACGGTAACTACATAATATGAAAGAATAAATTATTTGAATTTATTTGGATAAATTCACTCTACAATAGATTTTTCATATTTTCAGTTCCAGAATCGAAAAATTTCAGATTGAAATTGTCAAAATTCGAAAATTAGGTTCTAATTTCCACCCATAATCTCATGTCTCAACACTAAAAAAAGCATATTTATGGAATTAAAATAGAAAAATTATATCAAGGTTTTCGGTTCATGTATCCGAAGTTCCTTTTACAATTCGGGTAAATGTACGTCAATGTCAATGCTTAAAAACAAAATATGCAAATTTCGGTACATTTACCCAAAACTCCATGGAGATTAGGGTACAAATACCCGAAATTGTGTTTTTTTTTTTTCCGAAAAAAAACAGAATTGTGTAATCGAAATTGCTGTCGTCTGTCGATAATTTATTGAATCGCTAAAAATATTATCGGAAAAAAATAATATATATATATTTTTTAGATTTTCGAAATTTAGAGAGTATTGGAAAATTTAGGAGGTTAGTTCGTAGAAAAACAAAAATAAAAATAAAATAAAATCATTGAAGAAATCGTTACCTTTCGATTGAGCGTTTTGGCAGTATATGATAATTGTACTAAAAGACATAATTGATGAAAGCATATAGGAAATTTCTTTGTTAATATTTTTCCACGAAATAATGACACAAATGACAATTCATCTAACTTCCTTTGTCCGGTGTGGGCCCCACGATTGCACCACTTTAAGAAGAAAAGCATCACGGGACGAAAATTAAATTTATCATTATTCTTTATTCGGTACAGTTTCCGGTACTTTCTTTTTTTTAGTTTCGCTTACAATTCGCTTCATACTCATTCAAAATGTCTGGAACGTCCCCGCCTATCATAAGCTGTAATTCTGATATAAAGTGAGGGATATCCCAGACATTTTAGAGCAGGTAAGGAACTAACTGTAATCGAAACTTAAAAGACGGGAATACAGTGTTCGAAGCATAGGTAAACTATAATTTTCATTATCATGTAATATATTTTGTAATCACGTATTATGAAAATAAATGGAAAAAATAAAAGTTCACAAAATTGATGGGCCGATCCTATATTGGGCTTGTATTTTTGATAAATGGGTTAAATTGGGCTTGCATTAATTAATTAATATTACAATTCTTTGGGCTTTTCCACATAATAATTTTTTTTAGGGAGTTCATGGTAGACACGGCCACGGGCCGGTTTTGGGCCCGGAACCGGCCCGAACCGGCCCGTTGACGGCCCAAACCGGCCCGTTGACCGTGTGAACCGGCCCGGAACCGTGAACCGGCCCGTCCTACCCGGGACGGGCCCGGTTCTTAGATTTGGTGAACCGTGAACCGCCGGGCCGGCCCGGCGGTTCACCCGGATTTAAAAAAAAAAAAAAAAAAAAAAAAAAAATTCAAAAAAAAGTCCGGTGAACCGGCCCGGGTGAACCGGCCCGGTGAACCGGCCCGGGTGAACCGGCCGTTATTTACTTTTTTTTAGCATTCGGTTTTTTTGAATTTTTCCTATAAATACCCTCACACCCCAATTTTGTTTTTTTTTGAATTTTTTTTGCCCCCAAACCCCCCCAATTTTTCCTATAAATACCCACACCCCAATTTTTCCTATAATTTACTTATTCATCAAATATTTCAAACTTGTGCTTCTAAATTGATTTTTCATTTATTTCCTTTTCCTTTATCTATTTAAAAGTATTTCTTTTAATTTACTTATTCATTAAATATTTCAAAAAAAAAAAAAAAAAAAAAAAAAAAAAATCAAAAATTCCGGGCCGACCCGGAACCGGCCCGAACCGGCGGGCCGACCCGGCCCGGTGAACCGTGCACGCCACGGGCCGGTTCCGGTTCCGGAAAATGTGAACCGTGAACCGGTCCGAACCGGCCCGGAACCGGCCCGAACCGGCCCGTGGCCGTGTCTAGTTCATGGGGAAGTATATTGGACAATTGGGGTAGGAATTCGAAGTAATGTCTGATTTTATTATTTGAGATATGTAAATTTAGGCTAAATTACGGCCACCCCTGAGACAATGTGAAATTACGAAAACCCCCTCATGTTTGGGTAATTACAATCATCCCTCAACTATGAATCGTTTTACGCGTCCACTCTTGTGGTGTCAAATTTAGTGGAATCTTCTAGATTATGTGAAATAATATTCTTCAGTTTGTACTCGTTTTACCCTATTCGAGCTCCACATTTTGAAACAAGATGATCATAAGGTGTGTCTCTAGACTTATAAATATCCGGTTGTGGTGCATTATAAATTGCATTTCTGCACAGAACAAGTACAAACTAGAGAACATTTCACGAAATCTAGAAGATTTTGTTGAATTTGACACCATCTAAGAGTGGACGTGTAAGAAAATTCATAGTTGATGGAAGTGATTGTAATTATCCAAACATAAGGGTCTTTTTCATAATTTGACTTACCTCGGGAAGGTGGCCGTAATTTACCCTTAATTTTATTATAAATGTTTTTCTTTTTGCAAAACGAAATTAGTGATATCATAATAGTTTATTTTTTTTCGGGGGTATCAAAAAAGTCCCAAACTCAAAATGTTTAGTTCAAATGTTAATGAGGACATTTTTGGTATTTCCCAAGTAACGTAGTTATGGTAACGGCGTTTTTGTCCTAGTTGTCATTATGCTGTAACATCAAAACAAGTGACGATTTTTGTAGTCAGTTACTCCCTCCGTTCCTAAATAATTGTCACTTTTCACTTTTCACAAAGATTAAGAAATTCAATAAATATATCTTGATTTTAGAAAAATCATATAAAAATGACTAAAACAACCTTTATTATTTAATGATTTAAAAGAGAAAATTAATGAATATAGGTTCATTAATAAGGTTAAAATAGGAAAAATGCATTTAATGCAGTATTGAAAATCTAAAGTGACAGATAATATGGAACAAAAATATTTTAAAAAAAAGACAGTTATTGTGGAACAGAGGGAGTAATTAATTAGCACTTCATCACACAACAAGTTCATTCATTCTAAATGGCTATAAAAAAAAAAAAAAAAAAAAAAACCCACCAATAATTTTTTAATTACTTCCAATTTTAAAACAAACTCAACTTAAAAAAGTGTGGTTTATTTTATTATTTAAAAAAAAATGAATTAAAAATATGAAATCAGTGAAATGAATATAATGTTTTGTTGGTCCTTTTCAGGGGCATTCATCATCATAAATCATAATTACAATTAGATTCGTTTGGGATTTTATTAATTTACTTTAATTATTAATTAAAATGCTGTTATGATAATTAAGTAATACTTCTTAAAAGTCAAAAATGAAAGTACAAATCCAGCATGAGATTCAGGGATTTGTTGCCGGTTTAATTATATCACAAGACATATCTATGTCGTTTTCGCAGAATTATGTCGGGACGAAACCCTAATTCCTGATAGTATGTATTTTTTTAATTTCACATCATATATTTATTTAAATGTTTGTAATCTTTATGCCACCAAAGATATATGGTACAATTGATTTTTTTTTTTTTGGAAATGTGTATTAGCTAGGGGTGGAAATTCAACCGAATTTTGTCGATTTTGATCCGAATTTTTTGATTTCGAAATATTTTTTTTTTGTTCTGAATTCTGAAAGTTTCGATTTTTTGATCTTTCCAAAAAAGAAAAAAAAATTTGAATCAGGATTAAAATGTTTATGAAATCGTCCAGAAAATTTCAAATATTTTTTCCAATAATTATATTTTTATTTATAGGTGAATAACATTATCAGATAATAATGTTGATATATTTATTTAATTTATTTTTTGCCAATAATTATATTTTTGTATAGGTAAATATTAGAATGTTGGATTAATTTATTTAACAATACAATTAGTATTTCATGTAATACATATAATCATGTACTTGCCAATCATTTTGCTTTCTTTTGTCTAATCAAACTATTTCTTTTGCAATTATTTTATAAGTCCTTTTACTTGTCATGCCCTTCAAACTGGCCCCTTTTACAAGACATAAAGATTTCATCAAGTTGACATACAACTTTAAGAATGTTTTAAGAATTGAGATTAAATAAAATAAATAAATTACTTAATTAATTAAGTTATTCGTACAGATCAAACCTTCTTATGATGTCTATCTCAAATAGGTTTGAAAAGTTGAACGAATTTCAAGATTGTATTGAAAAATAATTACAGATTTCAAAGTGTTTTTTTTTTCTTTCAAATTATTATTCTAATAATAATTATATATTGTAGGAAACATCGTCTGTGAAATTAAATTAATCCAAGTTCGCGTTAATTAATTAATAATTCAAGTTTCGAACTTATACAATAAGTTTATTAATTAACGGCATAATTAATTAGTAATATCAGCTCATCCATATAGGTGGGAATCTTGCTTTATTTTTCTAACTTGATAATATACATTATCTAATTCGAATTTTTGCTCGATAACATAAATTAATTAGCTTGCAAGATTTCTTTAAGGATCGTAAATAGTTTATTTCGTATTATAGATAACGTATTTATATCCATACACTATGTTAAAAAAAATGCAAAACTCGTGATACATATGTAATTGATTCAAAATAATTTAGTTGGCCCTTAGTTTCTTGTCAAAAAATTTGTACTATAATTTTTTTTTATTACAATTATACCATATTAATATGAGTTCGGTAAAAATATCTCCAAAACTAGCTAATTGATGGATGATGTTTTTACCTAATCGGTTCAGTAATAACTTATGTAGGACCGAAACTTCAATTTCTTAATGTTTCCGCGCTTTGGATACGTTTTGTGTTCAACACTCGAGAGGACACCCGTCAGAAATTTTATAGGCCATTTTGCAATTTCTAAACAGTTAAAAACCTGTTTGAATAGGAA